CTTAAGGAGTATCTAGAGGAAATATTATAGAAAGGATATATATAACTATTAGAGTCCCTAGTAGGATACCTAATCCTATAGGTACTTAAGAAAAATAGAAAACTATAACTATATATTAACTATTAGTAACTAAATAAGATTATAATTAAAAACTAATATCTATTACTACTTATTACTAAAATACATAATAAAGTTAGTAAAGCTAAATAGTTTACTATACTTAACTTAAAAGGAGTCTATAACCTAATACAAATAAAAGAAGACTAAGAATAGATAATAGCCTTTTAAACTACTAGAGGATATTATAAGTACTTAGTAATACCTTTTAGACTTACTAACGGCGCCTATAACTTTCTAGACTATATAGACTATAATTAATAATATCCTATAGAAGTAATTAGGAATTTTTATAGTAGTATACTTAGATAATATCCTTATCTACTTAGACACACTTAAAGAATATAAATAATACGTTTATAAAATACTATAAACCCTATAAGATAATCACCTCCTAGTAGAAGGAAAGAAGTACTAGTTTTATTAATAAATAGTACACTTCCTAGGATATATACTTATATATAGAGAAGTATATATAAGCCTAGAAAAAATCTAAGTAATTAAGGAATAGCCTATACTAACTAACTTAAAAGGAGTCCTATTATTCACTACTTTTATAAACTTCTATTATAAATTCCTAATAGAATATAGTAATATAGCTTAACCCCTTATAGACTTAATAAAGAAGGATACTAAGTTTAAATAGGAAGAAACTAAAGCTAAGGTATTCTAAAAAATTAAGGACCTAGTTATAAGGGAACTAGTTATAAAAACACCTAATCTAAAGAAACCCTATAAAGTTAAGACTAATGCCTCTAACTAGGCACTTAGTAAATAGCTAGGATAATAAGATAAGTAAGGAAGACTATACTTAGTTATATTCTTCTTATAGAAACTCTATAGACCTAAACTAAACTATAGGATCTATAATAAGGAACTTATAGCTATTATTTAGTGTTTTAAAGAATAGAGACACTACTTTATTAACTTTATTAGAGTAAATTATAAGATTAAGGTGTATACTAATTATAAGAACCTTATATTATTCTTAATAATAAAAGATCTAAATAAATAATAGATTAGATAGTATAAAAACCTTATAGACTATAAC